ATATTAAAAACATTGTATACCTCTGATCTAAACAAACTTAAACCAAGATACATTTACTTGAAAAGCAAAATTACTCAAGATATTAAGCCTTGTTTTCTGAAAATAATTGTATAGTTTTTGCATAAAACAGGAATAAATGTCTGAAAACAGGTTTATTTTTCTGACTGCATTGGCAGATAATCTTTCTTGTTTTAAGCATAAACTCACTCAATTTATCCAAATGTAAGACTTAGTAAATGTCTGAAGTAAATGTTTCTTTATTTAAAAATGCAAAATAAGACAACAATACTGAGAAAGATAAAGAAATAATTTATTGCAGTTAAACTCCATATATTACTGGATGTTTGCAGAATACATTTGATGGCCACGTGTCTACTCTGTTTTAACTCCCGAAAAAATGTAAAATCTTTGTTTCAAAATTGGCTCAGATCTTCAGACCCAGACTAATAAAAAACGAACAAACGAACAAATCTGCTGGCCGTGCAGCACTTCTGCAAATGAACTTTTGTAGACATCATTGCATCAGTTTGGTGTTAGCGCCACCTACTGGTCAAAAGTTATAAAAACCGGGACTGCTCATCATAAACCAATCCACTGGTGTGTTTGATGAAGAAAATGATTCATGCAGCTTTATTTTTGGCCTCTAAATGAGACTAAACTCTGATTTTAAGCCAAAAAATGCATTATTCCTATTGTAAATTATTAAGTGAATTCTTTGCACGATGCATATACAGTGCAGCAGATGTTCTCTTCTGAATAAGCCCTAAATGAAACCCTTCACCCCCTGAGTTACCCAGAATGCTCTTGTGTGTGTGCGTGTGTGTGTGTGTGAGTGAGTGAGTGAGTGAGTGAGTGAGTGAGTGAGTGAGTGAGTGAGTGAGTGAGTGAGTGAGTGAGTGAGTGAGTGAGTGAGTGAGTGAGTGAGTGAGTGAGTGAGTGAGTGAGTGAGTGAGTGAGTGAGTGAGTGAGTGAGTGAGTGAGTGAGTGAGTGAGTGAGTGAGTGAGTGAGTGAGTGAGTGAGTGAGTGAGTGAGTGTGTGAGAGAGAGTGTGAGTTAGTAAGTGAGTGTGAGTGAGTGAGAGTGTGTTTGTGAGAGTGTGAGAGTGTGTGTGAGTGTGAGTGTGTGAGAG